TGAGGGAGCAAGGCGCCGGGCTTCATCACGCACCCAGACAGTGTCAATGTCTTCCAGATTCAGCAATTTCTTGCCGCTGTCGCTAACAGATGGCGAGCTCTCTCTACTGCCTAAAGGATCCTGGACTTATCCGATGCAGATAAATGAGACTTGTGGCAGACATCACACTCTAGCATTACACAATCACCGAATTCCATTATTTCAGCCTCAATTTCCAGTGTCACAGACTTACAGGCGCGGTTATTCGGCAGCACCGTCGCCACTTGTAGAATTTTTCCTCTTATCGGTCATGATTAATGTAGTAGAAACAACACTGGATTTCTTCTGAATAACATATAGCAATTCAGTGCGTACCTCACACGAAACATTACGTCACCACTACAGAGCCCAACCGGTTACTGCTGTTTGGGGAAACAGTCGCTGTTTACTGTGAGAACCATATGGAACACATAAGTACACTGTGTGGGCAGAATGCACAGTTCTGGTGTGGGCTCTGAAGGTTTCACAAAGAGCAGATGCATACCAGAGCACAAGGCGAAACTAAAGGGGTGCGATCCCATATGCACGTGTTCATGCCTCTTCGGAAGGGACACAAAATGTTTGGTTTCCCGTTTTGTGGGTGCAGAATGTCGCTGGATAACGATCCAAATTTGCCGAAACCGGCCAAATATCAACACGACCTGCACTTTCGTTGTATCGGCCTACATCGCAAGAACAACTTTCTTTCTGACCCAGGCAGGCAACATAACCTGCCGTGCCTTCACATTCCCTGGAAACCAGAGCTGGGCGACCTCTTGCCCGGAGGGTCACCGTGACTCTCTCCAGATAGCAGCTGCCATCGGTGTGGCGCAGCTAGATAGCAGGACAAGAAGTTCTGGGAAGAACTAACCGTCTACTTTCCTAGACATGACACGGACCACACAGAAAACGACGCGTCCAAAAATTCTTCTAATACTGCTTGTGTGTTCGCTGCAGCGGTAATATTTTACCAAGCCGTTGCCTAGTAACATACACATACATACAGACTGATAGGGATTTATGAAGTACGCCGTTGAGATGGGCTCAGATTCCATGATAGTTGAACAAGAAGTTCCAGGAAGAACCGTCTACTTTCCTTCACACGGCACGCATCACATAGAAAACGGCACGTCAAACAATTATTCTATTGTTGCATGTGTATTCGTTGCCGTGGTAATGTTTTTACCGTGCCGTTGCCTAGCACCGATAGGAAATACACATACGGACACACAGACCGATGGGAGGGATTTATGAATACGCTGTTGAGGTGGACTCATGTGCCATGTTATACTGGTTCAGGCATTCAAGAGTTAATGAGGGCGGGGGAAACAGAAACATAGACAGGATGGAGACTGCATAAGCCTACTTTCATTTCAAGGATGTTTCGGCCAGAGAACAGCAGTACGTGCTCCAAGGTCCTATAGCAGCCAATTCATGGATCAAGGTCCTTAAGACACGTTGTCGGTATCTCAAATTATACAGAGTGGAGCGGCAGGTTGATGCGTGAGAAATGAATCCGAGAGGATGTGGAAGGAAGAGGTCGTGGCCAAACTTGAGGAACCCACGGGAATCATCACTCAGAATACAATTACTGTCCTTAGAATGCGATATCATGTAGTTTTGTAGACGCTTATCAACGTTTCGGAGAGTTCTCCTACCTTCTTCTTCAGGGCACCTACCATCCTCTACCCTAAAGATTTAAGCAGATTTCTCTGTGACCCTTGTAATCTTCTACGGGGCTACTAAGAGTTACAACTCAGAAGTTCGCGATGTTCACAGCCGCCGTCAGGATCTGAGATCCCAGTGAGGACAAGTGGTGTCCCCGCAGGGGTCTGAAGCGAGTGTATCCTGAATGGGAATGCTCGGCGCATGCAGGCTATGTATATATGTCTTGCAAGATGGCTGCACGCATCTCAACTCGGGTTTGCATCACGAAACCCACATGAAAAGGAAGCAGAGAGAAGTGGCTTGGAGAGGGCGTGAAGGAATTCCGAATGCGGTCTTCTAATGATTTCACCACGTTCCCGCGTTCAGCACAGGGGTCGCACTTTAGGCGTGACGTATTAATATTCTGTGATACAGCACCGTGCTGTCCTCTAGAAGTCAACGGAAATTTCGCCAGCATACGTGTACATCCCTTCCGGCATCAAGTTCGAAGAATAAGCCAAGACAGAAACTATCATGAAACAGACAGCAAGCAGGGCACTGCGTTTGGGGGTAACATACTGTCTCCATCTTCAGGGTGGAAGTGAAGCAAGAAGCAGAGGTCTGCTTGCTGTCACCTTCTTGCTCGGCGTGTTTAACCCCAGAAATGAAGTAACGGTAATGACATCCCTCTAATTAATTAATCGCTATGCAATAAAAATGGATGGAACATGGAGGTATAAATCCACGCATTCATGACTTCAATACTAGATGGAGGTGTGTGCTCAGTTTCAAGCTCCTGCAGCTGGGGAGGCCCCAAAGCCGGGAAATCGAACCCAGATTCCCCAGTCGTCCTTTGTTTGCAACGATTCCTTCTCCTCCAGTACGTAACCGTCACCATCAGCACAGTTGCCTTGCGGGCCGAATCTGGTAGAGGCTGTGAGAGTTTCCAGAATGCGGAAATAGCGCTCCCAGCACGCATGTCTAGACCAGCCTGCGGCTCTTGCTGCTAGCTGCAGAAGCAAGTGAACCACTGCTGGCAATTTCAACGCCGCTACAAAATGCTACCTAAATCCGCCCAATATTTATACTGCCGAATGCTTCGGATTTACAAACAATATTACATTGCTTCTACGTGATATATAACAATTAATTTCCTACCTCACAGGAAACGCATTACGTCACCGCTAAAAAGCCCAACCGGTTAATGCTGCTTGGGGAAACAGTCGCTGTTTACTGTGAGAGCCACACGAAGCACATAAATGCATTGTGTGGGCAGAATGGAGTTTCAGTATGTTAAATCGGGTGGTTTATATAGTAACCACAGGATTTTAGAGGGTTAAGGAGGAATCTGAGCCGGTCACGGTAGCCGAGCGGTCTAAGGCATGTAATGTCTTCGCTCGCTTGGAAACCTGGATCGTGGGTTCGAATCCTACTGAGGGCATGGATGTTTAGTTTGTGTGTGTGCGTTTTTCTGTGTTTGTGTACAGGTAGAGGCCTTGCGAAGAGCTGATCACCGGCCCAAGGAGTCCTACCGAATGTATAAGATCTTGAGAAACCTAAGTGAACGGAGAAGTTCATGGAGGTAGNCCTTTACAAATCTATTAAACTAAAAAGTGCTGCACATACAACAATGAACGGACAATTGGCCAACATCTCGTTTCATTAAAAGTGTACACAGATCAGGTGTTTGTGATCTATCAGCACAAATGAAGGCGCAGCCCAGTGGTCCTTTCTCTTTCCTTTTAATTCCTACATACAGAAGTACATAGGAACTACATACAACAAACCGCCTTACACAACCACTGTTTGTAGATGACTCCGTACATACTACATTACATACAAGGTCTTGTCATTTATCNTTATATTCAAATATTCCAGAACATGGGTGTACAACAGGAAGGACGGACTCAGGCGGCCGCCCCAGACAGTATGGGGCACCGCTTTCCTACGCTTTAGAAATGGCGGCGAATCCTGTCGGGAAAAACTTCACGAAAACTGGTTACTAAGTATTCGCTGATAGTTCTTGAATTCATTTCACAAAATCAATACATAGGTAGAGTAACACATTCTGTGATGAGTTCACTCCGTATAGTCTGGTAGAGGTTACCGAAGGAGCATTTCCAAACTTCAACAAAACTACACGCCGTCACATCTCAGAAGATAAAGTCGTTTTAAAATTTGCACGTAGCAATATGATTGAATCCCAAAAAGTCATGAAATAAGAGGCAAGAAAAGTTCTATCTCCTGGGATATAACGCGGAGTAGTCATTCGAAAATCAAACGACGTTTCGGAGGAACATATGGCCTCCATCTTCAGTGTCGAAGAAAGCAGGTGGAAAGAAGGCATAACCATCGTTGTATAACCTCAAATCCCACATAACAGGCAAGAAGTTGAAAGGTGTGATTTATAATAAACTGCTATACACAGCGAGTTCTCTTATCAGAAGCATTTGTTTCATTAATTAGACAAAAGCCCCAATAACCAACAACCCACTGTGCGCAGACAAGCACCGCACAGAGCACATGACGCTTCCAAGTTGCTGTTACTCTCAACAGCTGCTTTCCGTCACCACGACAAATGATTTAGCTTACACGACATGTTCATTGTGAAGAATATTCATTGAGTACCTGCAAAAACATTACAAGAAACAAATGAGGTGTCCTAACCGTTAATGAAATATGGCTGCCAGCAAATGACTCCGGTTGCATGGAAACCGACAGCTTCATTAATAACAAACGGCTCCGTTACGCTACCGGGCAAGGCGCCGGGAGGTACATAGTTTCAGTTGGAAGGAGAAAACTTCGGTACTAACAAAGATTCTCTTAGTTTTACTCAGACTCTTCAGCTTTCATTGTAAGCTACAGACTTACTTAACTACTTATTGAGCTGAGCCCTTTTTGAGGAGAAGCCAAATCTGCAGCTACTGAAAAACTTTCCGGCATTTATGGAACACTCAGAGCCAGTGGAAGCGTGACAACTGTCTGTTCCGTCTGTATGTAGACTCAGAGCCAGTGTTAGCGTGAAAATTGTCTGTTCCGTCTGCACGTAGAGTCAGAGCCAGTGGAAGAGTGACAACTGTCTGTTCCGTCTGTGCGTAGTGTCAATGTTAGCAGAATAAACGCCTATATCAGGTAGGATTTCCACTGCAGTTCGCTCGGCTTATCGCCTGGTTCTTGCTTAGGTACTATTTGCCTCTGAAGATGGAAACAGTATCTACTTCCAAAAACTTGAGCTTCTTGTGAACTACACGGCGTTTCAACCCATAATACCACAATAATGCCATGTTGTTTTGTCTCCAAGTTCACCCACATGCAGTACGCTCAACGAAAATTCGCCCCCGTAGGAGCATTCAAAAATTGCCATCACCGACGATATTTCACGTCGATCTGGCGGGGTATTGGTTAAAGTTTTCAACTAGCAATAATCGCACCTCGGATAAACCTCATTGGTTACGATATTGCCGCTGCGCAAAGGTAAAAACTAACTCACAAACCATCCCATGTATAACCTATCACGCATAGCTTCAGCTGCGGGATATACAAGCATTCTTCACTCAAACAAATCTGTCTTAACAGTATATTTTAAAAATTGTTCTATTATCTGTTAAAATATTATTCTCTTCATGCATTCTAGTCAACATTACAAACCAGATCACATACTAAGAAGAAAACTTCGGAAAAGTGCTTTTACTGAACATTATAACTGCCACTGCCATCTGCTGGTGAAGAGATGAAAGGCCGTGCTGACAAGCCAATGAATTCAGGTAGATGAATGGTCCGGTTGCATGACGGCTAGGGTGTCCATTCAAACACAAAGGGTTTCAGTTTTCAGACATTTCTCCATTACGGGACGCGACAAATTCCAACTGTCCGTCTGCCTGTCAGGAATGAAGCAATTATAGAAACCGCAGAACGAATTTTCATGAAATTCGACATCGGGGAGTTTCGTTAAATTATGGTTGCATATTCCATATTTGGTTCAAATTGAATGAATATGAAGGACGTGTTATACGAACACCCTCCTGTGCAACCGGGCGCACTCGCTCAACATGTAACGGAGCAGAAAATGTTCCTGACAGCAGTTACAGAGAAGAATAGGACATGCACTTCATGTCGAATATTACCGTCACCCCACAAGTTGTGTACTTTTCGGGGTCATTAAGCAAAATTGGGCGAGCGCTGTGTGTACGACTTCCGTATTCAGAACAGGAAGAGATATGAACACCCGCGAAAATTACAGATCGCTCTCATCCTCGATGATAATTGAACGAGTGTTCCTCCCCCATCAGTTTATAAGTCTGCCTGTATATTATATGGAGCCAGGATAGCAGTCGGTATAGCGACTGGGTATGGGCTGGACGACCAAGGGTCGGAGTTCGAATCCCGGTAGGGTCAAGAATTTTCTCTTCTCCACGCCGTCCATACCGACTCTGGGGTCCGCCTAACCCCCTATCCAATGGGTACCGCGGGGTCTTTCCAGGGGGGGAAAGCGGTCCGAGCGTGAAGCTGACCACCCAACTCCAGCTAGTGTCAAGGTCAAGAAAATGTGGCTCTATACATCTACTCTTTCATGGCGTGGTGCTTAATTAGTTATTCACAGGGACCTTACCTTTACCTCTCCCTGTAAGAGGCCGTGAGGGCCCACAAGGTTGTGAGACGTCGATGCTTCCATATTTTCTAGACAATCGACTCACAGATGGCGGTGATGTTGTCAGCCTCACGCGAGGGCTGTTAGAGGCTGTGTCCGCTCCAGGGTCATAGTGTGGCTGGAAGTATTAGATCAATTTAAAATCCAANACTTATCCGTCTCCGATACGCAACACATCAGTCATATTAAGTCATGCAATTACTTGCTCATTAACCACAAGGTCACTATTATGCATTTGGCTCTTCATCTGGATTTCAGTCTTAAAGGGAGACTGAACCCTTGAGAACTGCTCAAAGTCTTCGGCAGATGTTCTCGTTAAATAGTTCCTGTAAATAGCCCCCATATTTAGTCTCATTTCGTAAAGTCAAAGTCATGTTGCAACTGACGGTCAGTCAGTCTGTCTGTCTTGGTGTCGAGCCCCAGCTGGGGCTCATGACCAGATGTTTTCTTCTTTGTGAAAGTTGCTGTCCTGTCCATTTGGGGCGCCCTCTCTGACGAGAGGTCGGGTCTGTCATTCTCATTTCGTAACGAAGCGGCGTGTCCTCTTATTTGTACACGCCACACGTTGAAATATGGATACAGCGATCCAATCAGAATGCATCACCGCAGTCATTGCGACGGTTCATAGTACAGCAGGTTTCTTGAGGCGCTGACAGTAGACTTCAGCCGGCCAAGAAATTGGATGAGGTGGAGGCGCTCTCCTTCGGTGTAACGTCGCGTACTTCGGAGGAATATATTGCCTCTATCTTCAGGATGAAAAAAATAATCCAAACAAGAAAAATATAAGCAGACGGCAAGCATAGCCAACCGCGCCTCGAAAATCCTGTCTGATGTAGATCAGTCAGTCCAAGCCGAAAAGGACTGGGAGACATAGCCAGTGGAAGCGTGACAACTATCTGTTCCGTCTGTATGTAGACTCAGAGGCAGTGGAAGCGTGACAATTGCCTGTTCATTCTGTATGCAGACTCAGAGCCAGTGGAAGAGTGACAATTGTCTGTTTCGTCTGTATGTAGACTCAGAGCCAGTGTTAGCGTGACAATTGTCTGTTCCGTCTGTACGTAGACTCAGAGCCAGTGGAAGAGTGACAATTGTCTGTTTCGTCTGTATGTAGACTCAGAGCCAGTGTTAGCGTGACAATTGTCTGTTCCGTCTGTACGTAGACTCAGAGCCAGTGGAAGAGTGACAATTGTCTGTTTCGTCTGTATGTAGACTCAGAGCCAGTGTTAGCGTGACAATTGTCTGTTCCGTCTGTACGTAGACTCAGAGCCAGTGGAAGAGTGACAATTGTCTGTTTCGTCTGTATGTAGACTCAGAGCCAGTGTTAGCGTGACAATTGTCTGTTCCGTCTGTACGTAGACTCAGAGCCAGTGGAAGAGTGACAATTGTCTGTTTCGTCTGTATGTAGACTCAGAGCCAGTGTTAGCGTGACAATTGTCTGTTCCGTCTGTACGTAGACTCAGAGCCAGTGGAAGAGTGACAATTGTCTGTTTCGTCTGTATGTAGACTCAGAGCCAGTGTTAGCGTGACAATTGTCTGTTCCGTCTGTACGTAGACTCAGAGCCAGTGGAAGAGTGACAATTGTCTGTTTCGTCTGTGCGTAGAGACAGTGTTAGCAGAATAAACGCCTATATCAGGTCGGATTTCCACGAACAGTTCGCTCGGCTTATCGCCTGGTTCTTATTTGGTACTATTTGTCTATGAAGATAGAAGCAGTATGTACTTCCGAAAACTTTGGCTCCTTGTGAACTACGCGGCGTTTCAACCCGTAAAACCACAATAATGTCATGCACTTCTAAAAGACCAATGATCTGAAAGAAAATTAAAACAGAAAACCACAACAAACAAACAACACGTAAATAGTTTTGTCTCCAATACAAAGTTAACTCACATGCAGTACGCTCAACGAAAATTCGCCCCCGTAGGAGCATTCAAAAATTGCCATCACCGACGATATTTCACGTCGATCTGGCGGGGTATTGGTTAAAGTTTTCAACTAGCAATAATCGCACCTCGGATACACCTCATTGGTTACGATATTGCCGCTGCGCAAAGGTAAAAACTAACTCACAAACCATCCCATGTATAACCTATCACGCATAGCTTCAGCTGCGGGATATACAAGCATTCTTCACTCAAATAAATCTGTCTTAACAGTATATTTTAAAAATTGTTCTATTATCTGTTAAAATATTATTCTCTTCATGCATTCTAGTCAACATTACAAACCAGATCACATACTAAGAAGAAAACTTCGGAAAAGTGCTTTTACTGAACATTATAACTGCCACTGACATCTGCTGGTGAAGAGATGAAAGGCCGTGCTGACAAGCCAATGAATTCAGGTAGATGAATGGTCCGGTTGCATGACGGCTAGGGTGTCCATTCAAACACAAAGGGTTTCAGTTTTCAGACATTTCTCCATTACGGGACGCGACAAATTCCAACTGTCCGTCTGCCTGTCAGGAATGAAGCAATTATAGAAACCGCAGAACGAATTTTCATGAAATTCGACATCGGGGAGTTTCGTTAAATTATGGTTGCATATTCCATATTTGGTTCAAATTGAATGAATATGAAGGACGTGTTATACGAACACCCTCCTGTGCAACCGGGCGCACTCGCTCAACATGTAACGGAGCAGAAAATGTTCCTGACAGCAGTTACAGAGAAGAATAGGACATGCACTTCATGTCGAATATTACCGTCACCCCGCAAGTTGTGTACTTTTCGGGGTCATTAAGCAAAATTGGGCGAGCGCTGTGTGTACGACTTCCGTATTCAAAACAGGAAGAGATATGAACACTGCGAAAATTACAGATCTCTCTCATCCTCGATGAAAATTGAACGAATGTTCCCCCATCATCAGTTTATAAGTTTACCTGTCTGCCACATAATAATGCTACATGCCGGAATGCCACGGGTTCTATTCCCGATAAGGTCTCCGGATTTTGCAATTGACGTAATCCTTCCAGCCGCACTATGGCCCTAGGGTCGACTNGAACAGGAAGAGATATGAACACCCGCGAAAATTACAGATCTCTCTCATCCTCGATGATAATTGAACGAGTGTTCCTCCCCCATCAGTTTATAAGTCTGCCTGTATATTATATGGAGCCAGGATAGCAGTCGGTATAGCGACTGGGTATGGGCTGGACGACCAAGGGTCGGAGTTCGAATCCCGGTAGGGTCAAGAATTTTCTCTTCTCCACGCCGTCCATACCGACTCTGGGGTCCGCCTAACCCCCTATCCAATGGGTACCGCGGGGTCTTTCCAGGGGGGGAAAGCGGTCCGAGCGTGAAGCTGACCACCCAACTCCAGCTAGTGTCAAGGTCAAGAAAATGTGGCTCTATACATCTACTCTTTCATGGCGTGGTGCTTAATTAGTTATTCACAGGGACCTTACCTTTACCTCTCCCTGTAAGAGGCCGTGAGGGCCCACAAGGTTGTGAGACGTCGATGCTTCCATATTTTCTAGACAATCGACTCACAGATGGCGGTGATGTTGTCAGCCTCACGCGAGGGCTGTTAGAGGCTGTGTCCGCTCCAGGGTCATAGTGTGGCTGGAAGTATTAGATCAATTTAAAATCCAATGATCTCACCGGGAATTGAACCCGTGACCTTCCGGCTTATATCTTATGCCTCAACGAACTACGCTACCGCGTGCCCCGTGAAACATGGCCCCTGATGAGAATCACAAATTTATATTACATACGTTGGGTACATTAACGCGGTTCCGGTGCAGAATTATGCATCTCGGCGTGAAAGCTTGTGGGAGGGCGTGGGTTTAGAGCCGTTAGATTGAGGTGAGTGGTTCGCTTTACTCTCGG